GGTGGGATCAATATGTTATTAGCCATATGTCCTGCAGCTTCTGTCCCACACCATGTTTCTGGCGGGGACTCACTGCTTTGCCATAGGATGACCCAGTCTTCAGCTCGCCTCCAGAAGTCACCGTGTCAAAGTCAACACCAGCTTCAGGCCACCCCCCCCCCAACCCCAGGGCTGCCTGTCCAGACATGACACGCCACACTCATCGTTTGCTTCAAGACATCACATCGCCCCATAGCCCCCCCCTCTCTCTCTCTCTCTCTCTCTCTCTCTCTCTCTCTCTCTCTCTCTCTCTCTCTCTCTCTCTCTCTCTCTCCTCTACAAATGGTTCACAGAACATAGAGTTATTGTGTGACTAATAAAATCACCAATGCCCAACGCCCAATGACCACGCCCTTTGTCGGCAAATTTGAAACATTACACCACACCTGCAATGCTGCCTTCCCGACGGCCCTGTCTCTTCTCCAGAGTATATACCCTGAAGAAACGCTACAGCGAAAAAAAAATAATGACACATTCATATGTTATCCTGTCCTTCCCTGTGTTGTTATTCATCAAGGGCGATTGGGGGGGGGGGGGGGAGAAAAGTCACAGTAGATATTCCAAACGCATTTGACCTCCCCCCACCCCCCCCCACCCCCCGCTGATAGCTTACAGTGTGATCCAATTGAGATGTCGATTATGTCACTGTAGCTGAACTGGCCGCGGTGCTGCAGCTGATAGAGGAAAACCTTGGCTCCTGATTTCGCGTGGAAGAATGCCGTGTCCTCGTGGCACTGAGCGTGGTGCCTGTCTGTCAGCAGCTGGAGGAAGAGAGGAAGGCAGGGTTTTCTTAATTTTGCTTAAATTGGGGTTTGATATACATCGGTATCATTAACTGTGTGTGTGAACCTGCGGGGACAGGGCCGGCCACGTCGAAGTTGGTTTTCAAGGCTTCCAGAGCTTCGTTGTCGATCCAGATCCCTGTGCGTGCAAGAGAAAATGCGTTTTTTTTTTTTTTTTTTTTTTTGTAAAAGTTGTTACATTAAGATGGCCTCACATGTGCTCAGCCGGCAAGAAGTCTATTAGTAGCCCTAGTGACCGATCCTGATTTTCCCATTCCTTGAACTGGGAAATAGCGTTTTTTCTTATTAATGCAACTGATATCGATAGTGTTATCATTGCTATTGCTGCTATGTTTATTGAATTGTTATCATAATCTCGATAACATTTAAGACAATGAAATAATGCAAAAGACCCTTTCCAAGAGTCTAGGAAAAGGGTAAACAGGTGAGATAGGTAGGACTAATAACTGACTCCTTGGTGACTAAGCACTTGTAGAGCCATCTATGCGTAAATACAATAAATAAATTTGTATTTCAGTGGGCATGGCATCTATTCTTGCCATACCCCCCCCCACCCCCCCGCTGATAGCTTACAGTGTAATCCAATTGAGATGTCGATTATGTCACTGTAGCTGAACTGGCCGCGGTGCTGCAGCTGATAGAGGAAAACCTTGGCTCCTGATTTCGCGTGGAAGAATGCCGTGTCCTCGTGGCACTGAGCGTGGTGCCTGTCTGTCAGCAGCTGGAGGAAGAGAGGAAGGCAGGGTTTTCTTAATTTTGCTTAAATTGGGGTTTGATATACATCGGTATCATTAACTGTGTGTGTGTGTGTGTGTGTGTGTGTGTGTGTGTGTGTGTGTGTGTGTGTGTGTGTGTGTGTGTGTGTGTGTATTTCTTATCTTAATTTACTTACGTCTGTTCTTCATTGATCAATTTACTCTGTTTACGAATCAAAGCAGACAAACAGACCAAGTCAGTCAGCAGACGGAGCACAGACACTGCTCGCTCCCCTCCCTACCCAAGCGCCAATTAACCATCACGATGTCTCACCCTTTGGAAATTCTCCAGCGTGTTGTTATTGAGCTCAGTGCTTTCCATGTAGCGGTAGAAGGCGCGGCGGGCGAGGTAGGCGGGGTCGTCCTCCCACACGTGGAAACCTGCGGGGACAGGGCCGGCCACGTCGAAGTTGGTCTTCAAGGCTTCTAGAGCTTCCTTGTCGATCCAGATCCCTGTGTGTGCAAGAGAAAATGCGTTTTTTTTTCTTTCTTTCTCTCTTATTCTTTTTTTTTCTTCTTCTTACTTTTATGCTTTCCTTTGGGCAGAGTCTATGGGGATTTAGACGATTTCTAAAAGAGAGAACACATCGACCTACCTTTAGTGTACAACCCGGCCTCGCTAGTAGTCAGGCCGGAAATGATGCTGACCTTGTTAAAACGACCTTCCCTGAGGAGTGTGGCGGGGTGGTCCTGCAGGAACTCGCCGTCGATGCGAGGCGTCATGAGGCGGGGTCCTCCGTGCCATACCTGGGGGAGGGGAAGGGGGAGGTACTTTTAACGACTTTGTTGGGGTGTTGGGGGAGTTTTAACGATTTTTTAGGGGGTTGGGGGAGTTTTAACTTTTTTATAGGGGGTTGGAGGAGTTTTAACGACTTTTTTAGGGTGTTGAGGGAGTTTTAACGACTTGTTTGTGGCGATTGTTTGTCGAGCTTGCAAACATTCGAATGCAAGCTCGACCCGTTTCGAAGCCAACCACCGAGGAACGGAACACTCGCCTTCAACTCGGGCAGCAAGGGCAACAGCTGATCCAAGGGAACCTGACGAAGACACTCGACCACCGCTGCGCTCTCGGCCTCCGAAAGCTCCGCACTTCTCTGAGGCGCTGACTTCGACTTCGAGATGCAGCCGAGGGAATGGGCGTAGGCGAGAAAAACGCGTCGGTGGTCCTCTCTGAACGCCCACGGACACAAGGACGACCCGCTCTGAAGGACTGCGCGGTGGAACAGACCTGAAGGAGGAGGAGGAGGACGGTGGATGAGTGTCACGAAGGTGGAGGGAAGTGAATGGGGAAGAAAGAAAAGGAGAAAGGGAAGGAGAAATTTATTGGGGGTAATGAGAACAAAGAAAGGCCATTTTAGGAAAGAAGCAGCAGGGAATAAGAAAGATGCAATAATTTTTAAAAAATGAAGAGAAATTTTAAAAAATCCAATGAGGACTAACGAAAGTAAAAAAGAAAAGAATCTTCCCTACTAATAGCTAGATAGAAACCAACCAACAATGAGACTTCTAGGCAATTTTTCGGTGATTTTTCTTTTGTTGTAAACTACTTGTGTGGAAGTGCCTAGATGTATATTTATATATACAATATATTTGTATATGTATGTATGAGTATATATATATATATATATATATATATATATATATATATATATATGTATGTATGTATGTATATACACTGTGTGTATGTGATCAGGGTATGCTGCTGGCAGTCAACGGACTAAAGGAGCACATGGAACCCCACCTGTAGACATGGGCGAAAGCATATGATAGTGGACGGAAGCGGCTCCAGCGCTGACCCCCAGTATGGTGACCTTGTGAGGGTCACCGCCGACACTTCTGATGTTGTCCTTAACCCATTGGAGTCCCATCACTTGGTCCTTCAGTCCTAGGTTCCCGGGCAATGCAGCATCTTCACTAGAGAGGAATCCTGGAAAGAGATGATGGGTATTAGGAGAGTCATTGTATATTTCCAAGTTATAAAAGTCAAATGAAGTTGAAATACACCATATTCTGTGATGCAATAGGGTTCAACGAGACCACTTTGTCGCCATTTCCAAAAATAAATAAAAGAAAACGGGAAAAAAATCAGGGTAAACTAACCTAGAACATCCAGACGGTAAGCCACGCTCACCAACACAATGCCCTTAGTCACGAGAGGGAGGGGTTGGTGTTCCATGGTATTGCCTAACTCGAAGGCGCCGCTGTGGAAGGCCACGATCACCGGGAGGAGGGCGTTACTGTCAAGCTTCAAGTGAAATTTCAGTTTATTAGAACCATGAAGTTGAAGTTCTAGACAGGTAAGTTATCGATTGCCTGCAGTGAGCAGAAGTTTGATGTCATTTTAAAGATTTATTTGTCACACACACACACACACACACACACACACACACACACACACACACACACACACACACACACACACACACACACATACACACACACACACACACAAACACACACACACACACACACACACACACGTACACACATATACACATACATACACACATCAGCTAACCTCTGGAGTAAAGACATTGAGATAGAGACAGTCTTCTTCTCCGTCAATCTGAATTCGTCCTTCAAATTCGGCCCTCAAGTTGATCTGTGGACACTCAGGCTTTGACTCTGTCCCTTTCCTTGGCTCTGTCCAGGATTCGGCTTTCACAGGGTCCTGTAGGGGGAGGAGAAAGAAAGGGAGGGAGGGAGGAGGTGGGAATGGGAGGAGGGGGATGGGAATAGGTGAGAGAGAGTGAGGGAGAGAGAGAGAGAGAGAGAGAGAGAGGGAGAGGGAGGGAGAGAGAGAGAGAGGAAGAAAGAGAAAGAGAAAAAAAGAGTAATTAGTAACCACAGTAACATTAATAATTACCAGTAATAAAATCATAATTGTAAGGAGAGTTTACTTCACTTTCAGTCTATCTCCCAAGTTAGACATAATCCCAGTGGTAATACCAATGGGTTATTCCACTGGGCTTGTTTTCCGTTTCCTGTACCAACTGCGTACTGGCTGCGACGTTTATGCTTTCTTCACCTTTACCGTATTAATTAAAATCAAATAAGAAGTGGATATTCATCTCTTTTTTCTACATCAGCGATTTCTTGCTTGAGGGAATATTTTATTGCGAATCTTGTGGGTTAACCTTATCAAAATAATTCCATAACGTTACCAATAACAAGATTAAAAACATGTTGAAATATTTCCAAGACATGATTTAAAATGGCTTCTGACCAAATTTTCCGAATATCTAAAGAAGGCATTGCAATACGACACTAAGACCCGATGGATTTTCATATGCTATTATTTGGCGCTGCACATAAAGCCTATGTATTATAAAACAATGATCTGACATATGTAATAAGCGCAATAGCATATACATGAATCGCTATGCAAGCAACACAAGAGTAATTAAATATGCAATCAATCATTCTATTTTGATTTTTACAACAGAAGGGGAACTTTTGACTAGTTCCCAAATATTATGGCTGATTCTGTTGTTATTGTAGCTATTCCATTACCAATAGTGGATATGTTTTACGTCACAATCTCCCAACAAGGACTAAGACTCGAACGCAGTTTGAGACCCTCCTCATATATATATATATATATATATATATATATATATATATATATAGAGAGAGAGAGAGAGAGAGAGAGAGAGAGAGATGATGTTTTTTTTTCTTTTCCTTTTGGTTTACTTTTCTTTGTTTATTTATTCATTTATTTATTTGTAATATTTTGTGTTCTTTTGCTTTTCCTTTTTATCAACAATGTGCCAAACCAAACCATTCTTAGATCAAAGATTTATAAAATATGTTAACCCTAGAACACTAACCTTTTTTTTTATGATCGATAACAATAACCTGGGTCCACATGGACCCCATCAAAAAAAAAATTAAATAAAATATTTCTATCTGCTTTTTGAATACTTGGTGATTTTTAATGTTAAGAATAGGGATTCAGGAAGAGAATGAAACAAAGTGTAAAGAAAAATATGCCATATTTTTATTGTAGCAAAATTAGAAAAATAAAATTTCCGAAATTTCATATAGTTTCAAAATATATTATGCAAAAAATAAAATAAATCATTTTCAGCTTAGTAACTGCTAATTCCGTTTAGCTGAAGAGTTGCTGAAGCTATACTTGCCAAAAGCAGCCCACCATGGTCCTTTATTGGGTGTGATCTGTATAAATGAAAATATGCAATTTTTAGAATATAAAATATACACATAATGTATTTCTGCCACAAAATGTAATGGTATATACAGTATTACCTTTCCTGTGGTGGCATTATGGAAAGTTACCTTTTAAAATCTGCAGTAATCACACTGATATATGTCACAATGTCACACGTCACAATACTTCTTACATCACACACAAAAAATACTATTACGTGCTTAGCCTATATGTAATACTCATGGGTCCAGTTGGACCCATCATTGCAAATGTATTGCCAACAGGCCTGTATTGTTACATGCTTACCTCCAACCATTCAACAAGCACTCTCCGATCCCAGGAGGTGTAGCACTGGCTCCTGGTCAACAGCACTGCTCCCCTGCTTCTGTCACATCACCTGGTTACCACGTGACAGGTGTTCAACATATCTATCCAAGGAAAACGAGTGAAAATGAACTAAATATAGAGCGAAATGCGAGTTTCACAATATAACAAGATGGTTCAACTATCGGCAGCATTATACAACACCACACATTACAATATTTCGTACATCACACACAAAAAAATGCTCAATACGTAGTGCATGTGCAAAGTCGATATGGAACACTACTTATAACCATGGGTCCATGTGGACCAAGCACTGCCTATAAATCACTAAAAACGCTAAAACTGTCACGTACCTTCCGCTAGCCACGACCGCTGAGATCCAAGTGATGAGAAAATTGCCGTCTAAACAAGAAATGCATTGTGGATAAGATGGAGAAGGACCGGAAAATTTGACGCGCAATTTGGTGGGTCCATATGGACCCAGTTTAGTGCTCTAGGGTTAAGGGTTCTATTTGTTTACAAAATGTATCGTTTCATGCAAGTGACAAAAAAAATAAGAAAAATATATATGTTCGCCAGAAATGTTTCGCTTCGGGACAATAACATTTAGTTTCAGCGGCATTTTTTTTCTTTTCTTTCTTTCTTTCATTCTTTTCGTTTCTTTCTTTCATTCTTTTCTTTTCTTTCTTTCATTCTTTTCTTTTCTTTCTTTCATTCTTTTCTTTTCTTTCTTTCATTCTTTTCTCTTCTTTCCTTTCTTTTCTTTCTTTCATTCTTTTCTCTTCTTTCCTTTCTTTTCTTTCTTTTCTTTTCTTTTATTTTATTTTCTTGTATTTCATTTTATTTTATTTATTTATTTTCTTGTATCTTATTTTATTTTATTTATCTATTTATTTTCTTTCTTTTCTTTCTTTTCTTATCTTTTCTTTTCACCATTCCCAGCAAACCATACTCAAAGCTGAACCACTCACCTCGAACCGAAGCCTCCATGAACCACTCACCTTGAACCGAAGCTTGCCCAGGGGAGGCTTGGCGTAAGGAATCCCCATCAGAGGATAGTACGGGCTGCCATCCCCCGCCTCGAGTCTCCTGGTGAGGATGGTGCCCTGAGAGAGATGGACAGCCACCTGGTCGTCTCCTGCCTGGGATCTCTGGTACGCGGGGCTTCCCTTGAGGGCGTCCCCGGCAGAGATCGCCGCGAACACGAAGGCTGCGACGGCGATACGCATGGTGCTGGGGAGGGCGAGGGAGGAAAGGGGGTTCTTAAGCTAATACAGATGGGTGGGTGGGTGCGTGTGATTGATTGATTGATTGTTTGTTTGTTTGTTTGTGTGTGTGCGTGTGTAATTGATGGTTTGTGTGTGTGTGCGTGTGTAATTGATGGTTTGTTTGTGTGATTGATTGT